CGTCGTCGGAGCCGTTGCGCGTGACGAAGCAAGCGCGCTTCAAGACGGTGCAGCTAGAAACGTCGTTTGGCCCGCTAGTCTTGCGTGGTCTCAAGGCAGGATTGTGACCTGCTCATCGGCACAACATTTAAGGTCACCTCAAAATTTCTTGAAGGTGTCAAATAAATCTGAACATGCACAAGCTGCAGAATTGGACACGTGACTACCAAACAACATATTCAATACGGAATGAAAGAGCATAAAAACTGCGTTTCCATTGAATCCCGCAACTTTTCATTTCCTTCCAAAATCGCCCGGGACAGGGACGAAGCAAAGCCACTCAAGATTTGTTCACAACCCGTTCAAATGGTTTTCAACCCCGTCGCCATGTTGGAGAATCTGCAGGAGCATATTGAGCACGACCAAGTTTTCCTGGACGAATACGTCGAGTGATTCGGTGACATGGTGGACGAGCATGTCGATGTCACGGACACGACCTAGCCCGTAATAGATTAAGCTCTTGGGAGAATCTGGTGTGAAGGGATTTCGTTTACTCACAAACGTTACCCCAGCTGAGTTCATGGTATTGTGGGATATCGTTGAGCTGCCTATAAACAACCGATGGACTGAGGGCCGTGGAGGGGAAGTCAACGCCGAGCCCTAAAGATGCCGTGCTCCTGACCATTACGGTGCTCAAACAATTAAAGTCCTGGGAAAAGCATGCCCACTACCTCAACTACAAGGCTCACAAATTCCAATAGCTGCTAATTCACCAATCGATCGATATCATCCAGCCATTGTTGTTCGAGCGCTTTGTGCAAATCCCGTTGATACCGTTGATGACAGACCTTCGTACCAGGAACGCTTAAATCAACAACTATCCTTACGCGCTTTATGCACTTTTATGCTACCGACGTAAAATTCCAACTGTGCGAGCGACCAGGTGGCCGATTCAACGAGCGAAAGAGCTGGTTCAGCTGCAAGTACAAGTTGTACGGGTTGAAGATCGAAGCGTCCGTGTCACCCCAAGTGTCTGTGTCGACATGAGTGATGCCCATCCTTGTGCAATGCCGGGCCTTACCATTATGCGATCCCTTTTGCAGGTTCACGTGGATTCATTGGCCAAGAATCCTGTTGAGCTCGCCAACAATTCCAACGGAGGGCAGTTCGGCACGTACACGATGATGTGGCCGGCCTTGCTCGACAAGGGGTACTACGGAGTCGCCGATCACATTCGTGTCAAGCACCCCAAACACAAGCTGGTGAGTGGTTACCTTGACGCTGATAACGTCGACCGACATCGCCGCGTCTCCGCGGACCGTGTCAAGCATCTCCTTGGTCGTTGAATGCACGATCCCGGAGAGCGGCGTGGACGCGTCAAATCCACCAAACGTCGTCGCCGGAGCTAGCCCACCGAGCCGGTCAGACGGCTGGTGGTTTATGGCGCCTTGCACGAGGGGTAGTACCGTCGGCCACTGAGTTGCTGGGAGTCGCCATTCGTTGTGCCTTCGTTGCCCGGAGTAGCATCCGGTTTACGACCTCGACAGATCCGTTCGCCCAGGGGCTGTACGCCGTCGTCACGTGATGGTGGGCGCCAACTAGCTTGCGCACCTTTACAACCACCTCGTTCTTGAAATAGGACTCGCCGTCGGAGACCCATGTCGCGACTATCCCGAACATAGTGAACCCGTCCATAAGGGCGGCGGCCGTCGCAGTCGAGTCTGCAGTCCGGGACGGGAACAACTGCACGAAGCCACTCATGTCGTCCTTGACTACGAGGGCGTGCTTCAAGCCTTCGTCTGACTTGGGCAAGGTCAGCCTGTCAAAATGGATGAGCTCGTTGGGACGCCGGCGTGCAGGGCTGATCCCAGGGGGCCGGGCACCATGTCACCGTCCACACGCATGCAATGTAGGCACCCCGTGACGAAGCCGGCCACGTCGGCCTTGAGTTTGGTCCAATCGAACTTCGCCGCGACGGCCTGTGTCGTGTCGTCGCCGCCACGCGACGGTGGCCAGCAGCACCTTGGTGGGCGATCACGCAGAGCCGCTGTTGGAGGTCCAGGTCGTCGTCCGGGACCCAAATCATGTCTCCCGGAGTGACATAAAATTTTATGTCGTCGTCCCAAGTAACTCCAGGGGGAGGCTGGCCGTCATCCTGGAGGCCATTCTTCTGGGACTTGAGGACCGAGTGAGCTGTCGGGCACTCGAAATCCTTGTGACGCAGGGGTGATACTAATGCTGCGAGACGTCGCACCCCAGCGACTAAGTAGGTCACCCCACACGTTGTCTTCACCCAACACCGACTCAATGGTGTACGGAAAGGTGGACATCACCAGCATGGCGCGCTCAGCGCTGCAGCTTGTCAGCTTGATACCTGGCCATGTTGGGACTTTGGCCACGCGGGTTGAAAATGTAAACCAAGTTGCGGTGGTTCGTGAACAGACGGAATCCACCAGGTCGGATCAACAGATAGTCGAGGCGCTTGCACGCCTCGACCACGACGAAGGCAAACGTCTCCTTCTCCACAATAGGCCAGCGCGAACTGGCCGAGACAAACGAGCCGCTTAGAAACGCTAGGGGCTCGTGGCGTTTCTCAGACAGGGGTAGCTCTAGGTCCTCGGGTGGGGCTTGGGTCGCAATCGCGCCCCAGATTCCGTCGCTCGCGTCCGTAAAAAGACATACGGCCACGTCTTCTCGGGGGTGACTCAGCGGTACGATGCTGGTCAGGGCCTTTTTCACACCCTCAAAGCACATCGTGTGCTCGGCAGCCCAGCCCATGGCGCTGACCGTTATCTTGGCCAAGGCCGATTTCTTAGCGCTCCGTGACAGTTACGTGCCCACGTCCAGGAGTCGACGCAAGGGATCGACGAGCTGGCTGTACTCGGGGATGCTCGACCGCATCCAATTGGTGGCACAGATGAACTGCTGGAGGTCTGCGGCGGTAGTTGGCAGCGCCAATTCGCACAACCCTCGAACTCGAGCTGGGGAGTGGGTCACGCCGGCAGACGAGATAACTTTGCCACACCATTCAGCCTCGCGGAGGAAGAATGAGCATTTCTTCGGATGCAGCTTCAACCCGAAGGACTCGCAAATCTCCAGGACCTGCTCCAACAGGTCAAACAGTCCCATTGCGTTGTCGCCGCGCCCAGCAGATTGTCCAGCCAGGCAAGTAAGGCCGCGAAATAGGAGCTCGCCGAACATTTGGTGGACGGCCGATTGATTAAACGAAACGGCGTCAGTCTGGCCCATCAACCACGCGTCGGCGTGAAGACGCCCCAGGGTGTCATGAACGAGTACAGCTCCTGGCTGGCCGGATGCAACGGCAGCTG